TACAGGCACGCGCTACCATGCCCAGCTAATTTTTTTGATTTATTGTAGAGATGAGGTCTCGCCAAGTTGCCTGTGGGCAGGTCTTGAACCCGTGGGCTCAGGCAATCCACTCACTTCGGCCTCCCAAAAGCCCAGGATTACAGGCTGAGCCACCGAGCCCAGCATTATTTTGTTTTTTTAGCCTCACTCTGTCGTCCAGGCTGGAGTGCAGTGGCACACTCATGACCACTGCAGCCTCGACCTGCTGGGCTGGCAAGCCTTCCTCTTCTGCCTTCCAAGTAGCTGGAACTACAGGTGTGTGCCACCACAATCAGCTAATTTTTTGATTTATTGTAGAGACAAGGTCTCCCCATGTTGCCCAGGTTGGTCTTGAACCCCTGGACTCAGGCAATCCTCTCACCTCCACCTCCCAAACTGCTGGGATGACAGGTGTGAGCCACCGTGCCTGGTTATTATTATTTTTGAGATGGGGTCTCTCAGTGGCACAATCATGGCTCACTGCAGCCTTGACTTACTGGGCTCAGGTGATTCTTCCACCTCAGCCTCCAGAGTAGCTGGAACTACAGGCACATGCCACCATGCCTGGCTAATTTTTAAATTTTTTTGTAGAGACAAGGTCTTGCTATGCTGCCCAGGCTGGTCTTGAATTCCTGGGCTCAAGCAATTCACCAACCAATCCACCCAAAGAGTTGGAATTACAGGCATGAGCCACTGTGCTCGGCTCATTCATATTATTATTATTTTTTTTTTGCGTTGGAGTCTCGCTCTGTTGCCCAGGCTAGAATGCAGTGGCATGCTTCCGGCCACCGCAGCCTCAACCTGCTGGGCTCAGGTAATTCTTCCACCTCAGACTTACAAGTAGCCGGACTACAGGCGCGCACTACCATGCCTGGCTAATTTTTTTTTTTTTTTTTTTTTGCATTGGAGTCTCACTCTGTCGCCCAGACTAGAGTGCAGTAGCCGCTCCCGGCCACCGCAGCCTTGACCTGGTGGGCTTCGGTGATCCTTCCACCTCAGCCTTCCGAGTAGCCGGAATTACAGGCGTGCGCTACCACGCCCGGCTAATTTTTTGATTTATTGTAGAGCCGTGGTCTCACCATGCTGCCCAGGGTGGGTCTTGAACTCCTGGACTCAGTCAATCCTCTCACCTTGGCCTCCCAAAGTGCTGGGATTATAGGTTTGAGCCACCGTGCCTGGCCCCATATTATTATTTTACTTCAATTCTGTGTTATTGTTCCTAAAAGCAGGAACTATATTATTATTATTCATCACTATATCCCCAGTGCATAGCTTAGTTCTTAGCACACAGTAGCAGGTCAATAAGTATTTGCTAAGTAAATGGACTAGCTGGGCGCAGTGGCTCATGCCTATAAGCCCAGCACTTTGGGAGGCTGAGGCAAGAAGACTGCCTGAGCCCAGAAGTTTGAGACCCGCCTGGGCAACTTGGTGAGACCTCATCTCTACAATAAATCAAAAGATAAGCCGGGCGTGATAGAGCGCGCCTGTAGTTCCAGCTACTTGGAAGGCTGAGGCGGAAGGATCACCGGAGCCCAGCAGGTCGAGGCTGCAGTGGCCGTAAGCATGCCACTATACTTCAGCCGGGGTGTCGGAGTGAGACTCTGACTCAAAAAATAAATAAATAAACAAACGAACAAATAAATAAATAAAACTCATGACTCCTGCCCTGAGATCTTTCTTTCTTCAATCTCTTCCATCTCAGTAAATGATACCACTATCCCCTAGTTATTAAAAATCAGACATCTAGCCGGGCTTGGTGGCTCAGCCTGTAATCCCGCGCCTTTGGGAGGCTGAGGTGAGTGGATTGCCTGAGCCCGCGGGTTCGAGACCCGCCTGGGCAGCGAGACCTCATCTCTACATAATCAAAAAATCAGCCGGGCGTGGTAGCGCATGCCTGTAATCTGGCTAC